GGTTTACCCTCGAACTCGGTATAAAGCTTTTTCGGTCCAATTGAGACCGGTGACAGATTATTCTGTGTTGGTGAGGAACCATTTTCCACTACCTTGGAATCATTTACTAATACTCGACTAAAATATATGCAAAACGAACATTTAAAAAATGATGAAACATTTCTGAAAAGCAATCGTAGTTGTTGACTATCACTAACTTCTAGACAACTTAGGACAGAATTCCCTATAAAACCAAGGAATAATGACCAGGTGGCAAACTATCCTCGCATAAATCGAGTGCATTAACTACTTCATACGTTAACGAATTTCGGTTGAGCAGAAGGGATTGTTCCAAACTGCAACAGAATACATAGTTAGAATGTTAATACGGGATTTCAAACTAATCAAAAAAACCGAACACCAATGAAATTTGTATGTTTAAACAACACTGAGTAAAAATTTATACATCATTAAGATACTTGGTAGGTTAATGTGTAGTAATAAAAAGCATCATAAAATATGAAAACATCAGAAAACGGATAATGCTTAGGGAAACAAAACTGCATGAAGATGTATATCTGAAAAAGATACTTTTTACAAGTCTTAACTGTATAGTGTGACTTACTCATACCTGTTAATAAGAACACAACCAAGTATATTGACAAAACTAGTATAAGTGCACTTGTTGAAGAATTTCCGTCATAACATAATGTACATTGCTTTAAAAAAAGATATCTGCAAGTACTCAACAGAAAATGCAGGATTTCTCTAACTGGTAAGCAATAAATGTAAGGCAAAAAATACAGATATTTGACAGTAATAACTGCTAGAATGAAACAGATCACCATGAATGTTTTCTACAATCTACGGAAGCATGAAGGGTTTTAACACTAAAAAACCGTTATCAGGATCTTAACGAAGTAACCAAACATAGAACTCTATATTTGACAAAGCTGTGTTAAATGTTACTAGCTGAGAAATGGAACTCAAGAATAAAAGTAGGCAGTGTACTCAAACCGAAGTCAGGAAATGTCAAAAAACCTACTGATCTAGTGATGGTGAATGACTGGGAGAACGTTGTTTATGACCATCTCGTTGGTCCATTGAAAATCCTTTCTCGGAAGAATCAATATCTCTTAGACAACCAGAAACACCAGTATTGGCTATAACAACAGATGATGGCGAAGCACTTGGGTTTCTATTACGACTAGCAGCTATGGATGGAGACAGCGGATCCTGCCTACTTCCACGTGATGAGCGGGATGACGATACCCTTCTCCTGAAATGAAAATGGGATAAATGAATTTCATACTAAAATGACACATAATCGCGCTACAGAAAATGGGGACAATTTATTGGGAAGCTATGATTTCATTCAGATCAAATATGCATCTGACCTGATTCCATCTCGAGTTCCCAATAAGTGACCAAACAACTCAGATTCTAAGTATGGGTTACGGAGATTGTTTGATTTAAATCAGTTCGCGATTTTAACGAAATCCAGATTCTAATGGAAAGTTGAACTTATCTTAAATGGTCGCAGTCTATTGGTTTTGTTTGTCAACGATTTGAATACACGAGGCTTATTTCTAACACCTGCTGTTATTAAGAGTACACACTAGTAGACCTACTATTTTAAAAAGCATGAAGTACTAATGCACATACTGTAAGTTGTTTATTTGTTCGTGATTTCTTCGTTCATTCCATTGTTTCCATTCATCTTGGTCTAATCTCTGGGTATGAGAACTTGCTTGGCGCCAGTGCGGTGGGGTGGTGCTGCGTCCAGGACTTCCTGAACGAGAATTAGGGCTCTGGTAACACTAAAATAAATGTTATACAGATCACAATTAAGGAAAGCATATTAAAAACAAAACAACTAATCATTGAGTACTTATCGGAACTAAAAAATGCAGTTATATAGACATTACAGTCTGAGTACGTGACCAATAGATCTCTGCAAAGACACAAGACAAAAGGATAGTGCTGGGATTGTGATGTAATTTAATTAGTGCCTTATAAGGATTAACTTTTAGTAACATTAATTAGATCAACAGAAACATTGTCATGGCAGTCTGACGAAACAGATATGGCTTGATGTAAAAGACTAGCGATAAGTATCTCGATATATTTACTCCTGATTTGGATGAAGTGTTAGCCATCATCTTTTTTTAAACCATAACCCGTCTAACGAAGTCTCAGAATATCCTTAGCATTGTCGCTAAATACAAACTCGGTTTAAGAGTATTTTCGAAAAAAAAAAACTAGCATAACGTGGATTGTAAAATACGTTAGTCTCATCTATTAATTACGTACAACGTCAGCTAATCAGTCATGTGACACAGAATTTGGCATAAACGTGCATCTATCCATGTCTCAGTTTTATGAAATAACTGCAGACTCCATTTCATGACCTTATTATGCTGCTTAGTTACCGAAATCTCGGTACTATAACTTAATATAAATATGTAGCAGATTTAAAACACTTCTGCTGAAGGTGGAGTCAACTTTTATTCTGTAGCCCATTGACCTGAGGTAGTATCTAGTTCACTGAGGTAAAGCACTATAAACATTAATAAGTGAAGCGATCCTCCATAGTTCAATGATTAAAAATCTAGCACTCAGCTACATGATAAAAAATGGATTCGGTACACTGACTGTTCACAGTAGTAACTAATTTCATATTTAAGATTAGCAAAATAACTTCGATTGAGTTGCAATGTAGCCACTAGTCTAAGTGATTCGATATTACGTGGAATGTTTTGGTGCCAGGTAGATGAATAGAAATTACTACGAAGTCCTAAACCCGAATAACTTAATAATAACTCTCCTGATTGTGAAACTATATGACACGTTTCACTCAAGATTGTGGATGCACTATGTTAACGAGTACTAATTAACACGAAACCCAGACCCGAAGGTTCCTGAAGAATGCCAACCACTACCTAATATTAGATTTAATTACCCAATGAACATCCAATTTTAAGGTGCAAACAGCGAGTACAACTTACGATTCGTCCGCGCCCTTTGACTACTCGACCTGAACGATCCTCTTGGTACCGACTACGAGCACTTTCGCGGCTGTCTATATCGTGTCTGAAAAATAGAAAAATTTTTTAGTTATGTGATGTTGGATAGTATCTACATCAAATAATTTTATACACTCTGACTAACAACGTGAAAACATATAGTTTACTTATTTTGGCAAATCAAAATTACTGAAGGAGTATGAAAACCTATTTACTGTGTACAGATTTGTGTACTAGTATTGGAGATGTGATTTATGTGCGAGCTAAATGGACGAACAAAAAACTAAGACACTATATGCATCAAAATTCAGTTCATCTTTCAAAACCTCAAAAGCATGTCTAGATGTAAGGTTGTTATCGAAATCAACTGCACAAGCAAAAGTACAACTTTTGTTTAAAACGTGTTTCAATGAGAACATTATGGTACTATCTACAACCATTTAAGCGTACGGAGTGGCTAACAAAATTGCTTCGGTACCCAAGTGGCTCACAAGTTATTATCTATGACTATGAATTGTGAAGGGATGGATAGTGGCCACTTCTACTACTGAGTAAAAACAGTGAAATATAATCAGTATGGAAATACAATAGTAACAGGAGACCCACCTGGATTCAACTGAATAATTACTGATGCGTGCTGAAATACTGTTGATCAAAAGTAATACAAAGCATTAGACTTAAGTCGCAAAAACAATTAATAGGGTTAATACTACAACTATGTTATGTCTAGAGGAAGGCGCGTGTGTGAAATATTAACAAAAACAAAAGCAATATAAACACAATCCCATGACCTGTCTACTCATGACAGAAATATAAAATACTAGGGATACACAGAATACCCTAAACATTGTCAAATGACGTGAGCACTACATTGCTTGAAACGAAGGTCGTCAAGATCCTAAAACCGTTGCGGCACCTGATTTTTGGGGGCAGTATTTGAAGATTACATATCGGTAGGGGGACTTATGGCAAAATTTCGGACAAAAGAAGACTCGTCAGAGATGATAGATATGGAGTAGACTACATATCACAAAAAGTAACGATCAAAAATCAACATGCAAACACACTGTCGTCTTTAAATCTGTTTCTTGATCGATGATTTAGGAAACGTACCTTGACTTCACAGAATAAAGTTGATTTCCACTACATAAATTTTCGATTCAGATCGCTGACTGAATAGCCTAAAAGGCACAAGTGCATAAAACATCTAAGTCAGCTGTAACAATTAGCTAGTCGTAACCCAATATGTTAAGTAATCTACTCTCTATCGTCACATTTAGCACTAACTTTAAAATAAAAACGAGAATTTATGACCAATACCTTGGACTAAGATTCACTTTCTTTTGAAGTTCTAGCTGATCCTCTTCGTAGTTCCCACGATACAGAAATTTCGGTGGCGGTACCTCCGGTATTTCTTCTTTGCGAACACTGCATTCATTATCCATGCCACTTTCACTGAAGAATGTTTTTTACGAAAATCCTTTTACCTATCAGAAAACTCCTCACCTTCACTTAATTTCCGTTTTTTCTTCTTTGCCTTCTTGGCTTTTTTCGACTTCTTCTCCTCGCCTATAACCTTACTTTTCTTAACTACATGTTTTCGTCACAAACTTTGGGGACTTACCAGGAATAAGTTCACCGCAAGACTCAATCACAATCGACTTTACTGGGCGATGGGCTTTAGTGTCAGATATTGGAACAGCTTCGATCTTCCTGACAACATCCTCTCCTGATATAACATGTCCGAACACCACATGTTTTCCATTCAGGTGAGGAGCAGGAGCAGTCGTACTAAAACTACTTAGTAGTGATTGTTTAGCCTTACATGAAGAATTGAGAGCCATTAGTGTTAGGCCCTCTGTTTGCCATAGAAAGCAAAAACGGCCGGTCATGTTCGGTTGTAAGGCATTCATCTTAAAAAATCAGAACTTTCCAAACGTACTCTTACCAGCAAAAGTGCCACCGTATATTGATTCACCCCCAGTTCCATCCTTATTACTGAAAATCACCACCTTGTACCATAAAACCCTTTATAACTCGATGGAAGACGCTTCCTTGGTAGGTTAACGGCTTCCCTGTCTTCAGACCTAGGCCACAAACACCTAAACCGATCGAGAAGTGATACTAAAGAGTACCTTGACACAACTTTTTAAAATTCTCAGCAGCTTTTGGGCAGATATCATTGAACAACTCGAAAACTATACGACCAACTGCATAATATTAGTCGATTTCAAAAACAAAATATACCTGGCTGCGAATCAATCTTTATATCTAAATAACAACGCGTCTTGAACTTATGCTTCCCCATTTTAACAGCAACCTCGCCCACCAACAAACGAACAATAATGGCGTACGGCACTAGGTCACAAAAATAAGTGTATTAAAAGTAAGATCAACTTTTTCAAAAGCTGTATTGAAAATAGGTCGTAAAGTTGTCACCGATCGAGACACCAGTGAACATCTCAGATTATCCGTGGTACAACATTTTTATATTCTCCTACCGAAAAAAAACCTCAAGGGCTATCCAATATCCCATACCGTTGGGACGAACTCGTATAACAGATTGATTTCTTTGTCCTTGCTTCTCGTTGTCTCTGTACGGTTCCAGGCATTTGTTCGTGTCAAATTGGTGCCAGGATAGAATGATTGTCTTAAGATATGTATTAGGCACAGCTAGTTTGAGGGAGAGACGGTAATCCATGAATGAGTACGTGTTTGTCAAGTCTCCCTAAAATTGTTTTCTGTGGGGCTTGTGGTCACATCGGTCGGCAGAGCGTTCCATACGAGGACAACTATTGGTGGAAAGGAGTGGAGCATACCTGGGTTTTCACTCTTTAATGTGTAACTTCGACAGTTGAGTCGAGGAATGTGATAGGGATGTCTCGATGAGATGTTTGTGTCGGTGTAACTTGATGTACTCAACATACTGTATGTCAGTGACAGATTACTTTCTGTTCTCTCATGGCTCGGCGAGAACAACTTCGGGCATTGGAATATGTCTTCGTCAAATTTACTCGTTATTCCTGTCACTTAGTTGTTCGTCTCTGTACTTGGTCAGAGAGATTCATGTGTCTTTTGAACAGAGGGAGTGCGATGACATTGTGAAAATCAACGTGTGATCCTGCCCATGTCTTTAAAATAGACTGGAAACAGTTCCATGAGTTTCATGAATGGCAGTTTTTCTTGCTTCTAATACACTATGTCTTTATAATGAACCAGTGAAAATCAATGTATTTCCCTCAACTTTTTGTCCTTGTATTACTGGTTTCGATTGAACTAAATAACCAGTGGTTAGTACTAATTACGGATCGAATCAGTAGGTGTTCAAACGTTGTTTATTTCAAATTAATTTTAGTTAATCGTTTTGCATGGCGCTGAACGGGACTCAAAAGCTCTTCGGTTGACAGGGTTCCGCATTTGAGAATGACAGTTTGGTGTTTCGTCCACAGAAACAAGAATGAACAAATCACAGATACAAATTTTGGAAAGTCACTGTCACCAGGCGCATGATGATTTATTTAGTCTCGAAGATAGGCCACGGCTTTACTAATGTTACTTCAGAATTCTTGTCAATCAGTAAGTACCAAATAATAACAATTATTTGACAGTGAAAACTACGTATTTGACTCCACTGGGTTTATTCACTTTCTGGTTTGCGTTAAACTAAACTTATAGCTAGTGATGCTTTCGTATTAGTGCACGCTCTTGAGAACTTTTTAGTCGATTCGTGTACTTTAAGGCATTTTTATTCTTGAAGGACAAGAAGTCACTTCATACCCAAATATTTATCTGTTTATATGGGGATTCTCTACTCGTAAAGTTTTAAACTTACTACCTTTAGTTTCGCTCGTCATAACTTCGTAAATTGTCCGTTAAATTGAGTGACTTTGCAAACACTTGTAGTTGATGCTGGCCTAATTAATTTGAATAGATGCCTACTAACCAAAGTCGTCGGGTCAAACATCACCACCAAATCGGACCACGGTCTTATGTGGGACGTCTCTACAGCTCTAGAAGCTAGCTCAGAAACATTATGTTTCGCCACATACTGCTGAGTATGTCTTCCTATCCATCCATCGTCTCCTTCCTTATTCAGCTTTATATCATTTTGTCATACAATAATTGGTGACTGAACTTACTTATTTTACCGAACCCAATGTATCCTAAAACCATTCCTCATACTCATCAGTCAAGAATGGAATTACTCACGCTACGTGTGTGTTTCAGGTGTAAGAAGAACCTCCATGAATTTCCACTGAAAACGTGAGGCTGAAAAAATGAAAGACAAAGGGGCAGCAAGGCACTTGGATAATAAACCGTTAGTAGTGGAACAGATAAAGACTTGGTAAATCTGAGGATAAAACCCATGCTAGCCGGTATTATCAGGGTAATATTTAGCTAAATTGTCTTCAAATAAAACAATACAATGACCAAGAACGATGAGTTGTGACATGCAAAGAAGTGCAATGGGTTTGAATAATGGACGGAAATTTGAGGCTTAAAACGAAGTTTTCCATTAGAGTCGGAAGTGTGTCAGAAGACGGTGAAGTGTTTGGAAGTGCTAATAAATTTGTCTCTTACTATCAATCATTTTCTCTTTGCTATTCTTTTTCATAAAATGCCAGCCGATATGACATGACATAAAAGCCTGAGTTAGAGTGTTATAGGTTATCTTGGTGAGATAGCAAAGCCATCCTGATGGGAGAACTAAAAGCCAAAGTCGGAATGGACAATAATGGTTTGAAGATATCATGGGACGACACGGACAGACTGGGAGAAAGGAAGGAAATAGATGACAGATTTGCAAATCAATATGCATTCAACGAAGTGGTTATATGCGGCACAATATCACCCCACAAATGCATACACAAAGCCAAATGGGCCTCGCCGGATTGCACACGGAGGACTAGGTCTATCAGATTTGCATCAGTAAAAGGTTCGGAAGGACGATGGAAGACATAAGAACAAGGAGAGGAGCTGACAGATCTTCAGATCACCACCTGGTTGTAGAAAAGTTGAAACTGAAGCTAAGGAGACATTGGACAACTAGAAACATAGCATTACAAATGTTCAATACAACCTTCCTTCCACATAATGACAAACTCAGCCAATTCAACATATCTCTCAACAAGTTCCGAGCCTCAAAATATCTACTCAAAGAGAAAACTAGTATGGAGGACAAGTGAAAATGAATCAAATAACCACTAACTACAACGTGTCAGGAAGTGCTGGGCATAGAGAAGCATCATCATTAGGAGTGGATCTCTATAGAAACCCTGTACCAGATCCAAGAAAAGAAAAGCTAGAAGGCAGCAATTAGCAACTGCTGAACATGAACACAGAAAGTTAAGTCAAAAACTGAACACGCAGAAGCAAACAAGCAAGTGAAGAAAAGCATTGTAGCTGACAGGCAGAAATATGTGGAAGACCTCGCGACGACAACAGAGAAAGTTGTAAGAGAAGGAAATATGAAATAGATATATAACATGACAAAGAAACTTACAGGGAAATGTAGTAAACCAGAGAGACCGTTCAAGAACAAGGATGACAAGTTGATCACTGAGATTCAAAAACGTAGGAACAGGTAGACGTTACACCTTGAAGCGGCTGGATGTCACTCCACCAACGACTGAATGAATCAGAATGACCATCAAACAAACCAACTGTGGAAAAGCAGCATGACCTGACAATATATCAGCTGAAACGCTAAAGTCAGACAGAAACAACTGAAAACATGTTCCACGTTCTGTTTAAGAAGATTTCTAAGGATAAACACGTGCCACTGACTAACTGGAATAAAGGATATCTCGTAAAGATAGCGAATAAAGATGTGAGCAAATGTGAGAACTGAGCTACAGAGACATTACACTACTATTGGTACCAAGAAATGATTTCAACAGAGTGTCGCTGAACCGGATGGAAGATTCAGTGTACGCTCAACTTCGAGATCAGCAGACGAATCCTGTAAGGATCGACTGTCCACAGACCAAGTTGTAACACAACGATCACTGTTGAACAATCGTTTGAATGGAAATCGTCACTACACATCAATGTCCTTGATTATGAGAAAGTATTTGACAGTGTGGATAGAAAAATCTCATGGAATCTTCCTCGACACTGTGGTGTACCTGAGAAGATCGTCAACATCATACGGGATTCATACGACGGATTATAATGCAAAGTCGTGCATGGGTAGCAAATGAGACTCATTACAACTGAGGAAGATTCAGACAAGGCTGCATAATTTCCCCCTTCCTCTTTCTTCTGCTGGTCAACATCTGAGGAAACGCAAAGAATAAAGTGAACAGCTCGGACTTCGTAGATAGCCCAGTCCTTTTATCCCATAAATAGCAATAAACGAAAGTGAACATAGCCAGGGTAGCGGCAGCCACTGTAACAGCAAGCCTCAACATACACGAAGGAAAAGTAAGACCATCAACAACAACGTAGAGAATACCAACCCAGTCACACTTGATGGAGAAGTTCTGGGAGACGTGGCAACTTTCATGTACTTGGACGGCATCGGCGACGAACAAGGAGGATCAAATACAGAAATACATGTGAGTATTAGCAAACCAAGGATCGCACTTCTACAATTGAAAGACATGAACCGAAATACGTCTGCAGGCCAACACCAAAGTCAGAATCTTCAGTACGAATGTCAAGGTAGTTATTTATACTGTACGGGTCTGAAACTTCGAGAATGGCCAAAACCACCATCAAAAAAGTACAAGTAGTTATAGGCGGTTTTCTACGAAAGGTATTCAATGTCCGTTGACCGGATACCACCAGAAATAGCCCACTATGACGAAGGACAAACCAGCTTCCATCTGAAGAGAAGAGTGAGAAAAGGTGTTGGTGGTGGATAGCACATACATTGGGTACATCACATACTACATCACGAGGCAAGCCCCAACTTGCAGTGCCGATTTGAAAAGGAAAAGTGCAAGACCATGCAACACTTTTTCGTCGGTAATTAGGCATCCGAAGAATGAATAGGAACTGGGAAGAACTGGAAAGGATTGTCGAGGACAGTTAAATAGAGAATTCTGGTTGGTGGCCCACGATAGGTAGAAAGGGCACGTAAGTAAGCGAGTACGTGAGTAATGAGATAAAATTAATGGTTAGTCATTAAAATGCTCGTGAAAGGACGAAACTGATAAGAAACAGACAAAGAGGGACTCATACTGAGTTGGTGTTAATGTTTTGTGATATCGCAGTCGAGCGACGGTTTATGAGCTTTGTGGAAACAAGATAATCTCTGATGATGTATGGTCAATTTGGTTTCAATATTTTTAGTATTTCCGT